CTGCACATGGAGGTTTACAGCATCTTTATGCATAATTGCCAAAATTTGGAGGCAACCAAGATGTCCACAGTAGGCAAATGAATAAATAAACTTTAGTATATCCAGACAATGGAATTTTATTCAGTGCCAAAAAGAAATGAGCTATCAGACCATGAAAAAACATGGAGGAATATTAAATGCATATTACTAAGTTAAAGAAGACAATCTGAAAATGGTATATGCTGCATGATTCCAACTATATGACTTTCTGGAAGCAGCAAAACTATGAAGATAATAAAAAAAAGTCAGAGGTTGCCAGGGGTTGGGGATTGGAGGAGGAATGAATAGGCAGAGCACAGAGAATTTTTAGGGCAGTGAAAATACTCTATGGCTTTATAATGATGGATCTGTATCATAGAATATACTACACCAAGCGTGAACCCTAAGGTAAACTACGGACTTTGGGTGATTATGATGTGTCAATGTAGGTTCATCCTTGAGCACAAATGTACCATTCTGGGAAGTGATGCTGATAATGAGAAACCTATTCATTTATGACAAATTTTTAAAAGATCTCTCCAGCTCTGACAATAGTTCATCTACTCTATAAATAAAGATTAGTTAATAAATTAATTACCTAATAAAGGTTAATTAATAAAGATGGTTTATTAATAAAGATGTCCATAATATGTGTGTTGAGTCATCAAGGGGACATTTTGGTTGGTAAGATAGACAGTCCCTACACTGTGATCCAGTCTCACTCCTCAAGCTGTGTTTCAACATTGGTTTTATTTATTTTTTTTCATTATTGCCCACCCTGTCACTGTAGGAGCTTTCAAAGACATTTAAAAAAAATCATTTCCCATGAAATTTTAATACCACAGCTATACTGTATATCTGCTTATGTACTGAATGTATATCTCTGCTTTATATACTTAAAGAGTAAGATTTTCTTTATCCTCCAAGAAGTAATTTTTGTCCCCTTTGGGACAATATTGCACTCACTGACAATGTACACAACCTAGAGCATAAAGATATATTATAATTGAACAATCTCAGAAGCTAAAAGACCTCAGAGCCTAACAGTCCATTTCAAGGTGGGGGTGGGGACAAAGAGAAGGTGGGTAACAAGCGAGCTTAAAAATTAATTAATTATAATAAATCAAAAAGATTTTAATGCAGTTTGGTGCAGCCATTAAGGAAAACAGTATGGAGATTACTGAAAATAGAGTTACCCTATGATCCAGCAATCCCACTCCTGGGCATCTGGAGGAAACTCTAATTCGAAAAGACACAATGAACACCCCAGTGTTCATAGCAGTACTATTTACAATAGCCAAGATGTGGAAGCAACCTAAATGTCCATCGACAGATGACTAGATAAGAGGTTGTGGTATATTTATATAATGGAATACTACTCAGCCATAAAAAAGAATGAAATAATGCCATTTGCAGCAACATGGATGGACCTGGAGATCATCATTCTAAGTGAAGTAGAGGAAAAAGGGAAAGAAAAATACCATATGATATCACTTATATGTGGAATCTAAAAAGATGACATGAACTTATTGACAAAACAGAAACAGACACAGACATAGAAAACAAAATTATGGTTACCAGGGAGGAAAGAAGAGGGTAGAGGGCTAAACTGGGAGTTTGGGATTTGCAAATGCAAACTACTACGTACAATAAGTTTCTTCCGTATGGCACAGGGAACCATATTCAATATCTTGTAATGAAAAAGAACATGAAAAGGAATATATATATATAACTGAATCACTATGTTATACACCAGAAATTAACATAACGTTGTAAACTGAATATACTTCAATAAAAAAAATAAACTGTGGGGAGGGCATAGTGCAAATGGTAGAGCATAGGCTTAGCATGCACAAGGTACTGGTTTCAATCCCCAGTACCTCCTATAAAACTAAACAAACCCAATTACCTCCCCTCCCCCTGCCAAAATAAAATAGTTAAATAATATAATCATAAATAAATAGATGACATTTTAAAAATCTAAAAAAAAACTTAATTACTTTTATTAAAGTATTTATCAAATGTCTGCTAGACAAATATCCAACTGTTGGGTGTGTGAGGACCCTGAAGAAGCAGACCGACACTATCCCTGCCTTTAAAGAACAGCTCCGCTCTGTCTGGAGACCTGAGAAGAGACAGAGGCCGTTAGAGAACAGTGACGTCCCAGGTGATGAGGATTCCAACGACAGCAGGCAGAGTCTGAGACAGAGCAGTCGCTGTGGGCTAGGAGGGGAAAAAGCAAGGCTTTCTGGAGGAGGTGAGGTCAGAAATACCTGAGTGAACCGCTGTTAGGATGCGTTCATTCAGCAAGCAATTACGAGTCGCCTACTCCGTAGGGCACCGAGCTAGGCACCAGGCTTCCGAAGATGACGACGTCCCCCCGAGGCATGGAGCCTGGCGAGAAAACCGATAAAACACAGGAATTGCTCTCCAAAAAAAGACATGTCCCAAGAGAGGGGCAAGGCCACATGGCAGAGTAAAGAGCAGATGCTGGGGCCAGAAAGACCTGGTTGTGGAGGAGACAGGGACGGAAAGAGCCTTAGCCTGTGGTACAGTTAGTTCTGAGAAAGTCCTGGTAAACTGATGGGGCCCCCAGCAGTCAACGTCGCTCATTGGAGGAGACCCACGCTGCTCAGTCTGAATTCCTGCCAAACTCAGCCACAGGCTGGGAGCAGCAACCGAGATGCCGTGGTGGGCTGGGAGCACAGCAGCTAAGCCATCAGCAAGTATGCTCCCTGCAGTGGGAGGAGTGAGGGGTTCACGCTCATGAGCATCACAGGCAGATTACATGAGGAAATGTGCAGACTCACCGTAGTTATGTCAAGCACAAGTTCTGCCCAGCTTTGTCAATGGTAAGATATTATTATTATGAACAAAATACCAAAAGACCATCCATCACAGCGTGTGCTCATTAACTTCTCCCGGAGGGCTTTGGAGGGATTCACAGAGGGTGCCTGGGGTGAGCAGAACCTTCCAGAATAGTTGAAGTTTCTTCCAGGGAGGCGAGGCGTCTGGCCAGATGGGATTAACTGCCTGGGAGATGGGGTCAAGGACAGGCTTGACCCCCACAGGCTCGCTAAGCAGACAAAGGCCTTGAGCAGAGTCTTAATTGGTGGAGGATTATAAGGTTTCCCTGACCTCCACCACGGGCTGTCTCTATTTCAAGTCAGTGCACCATCAGGATGCCACTCTAGGTCCGCGCTGCCCCTCCAACCTGCCCCAAGATGATGCTCAGAAGCAAACCCACTATTCGTCCAGTGTCTGTAGATCGAGAAAGATGAATCACCATACACACGTTCACCTCTTTCGTGCTATACACACACTTGGGAGATTTACCAGTAAATCACACCAGGACTGGGAGCTAGCCTTGCCTCCTCTTTACAATCAACTCAAAGACAAAGTTTAATCTGTTGGAGGTGCTGTGGGAAGAAGACAAATTTTGCTGCCGTCCCTAAGGTTCGTTAACCATGAATTCTGAGCAGAGGAGTTGCACTCCGACAACAAGCCGCACACCGCGCTCAGCTCGCCTTTCCTGCCTCTTGTCTGCACATCGCCCCCTCGGGTTGGAAGACCTCACCATCCTAAGGAACCCGTGGATGACTCCCCGAGCCCCTCGAATCATCTTTCTCCTCCCAAAAGTCTTCCCGGCCCTGGGCTGGCTTAGGTGCAGGTCTTCTAAGCTCCCGTAACTACCTGGACCCGTCTCCATCTTTGCACTTAGCTATGCATTCTAACATCCCACTATGAGCTCCGGGAAGAAAGTGTCTGTGTCACGGTCATCTCTGAGCAGCGAGCCTGGTTCATGTGTCATAGCTCCTAGGATGAATGGAGCACCGTGATAAAGAACACGCTGGTGAGGGGAGCAGAGATGGGAAGGCATTGCAGAAGGGGAAGTCATTTTAAGAGATTTTAGATGGGGCTTCACAACCCCTGGGCTATAAGGGGAATAAGAAAAAAGCTAAAGTGATGAAACAAACATCATTGTGCAGGGTGAAAAAGCAGAGAAGCCCTTCAGGGAACCTGCAGTGACCTAGAGGCACCTCTGGGGTTCAATTAGCCTTTGTTAAGAACTTTCAGTTCAACTTCCTCACCGGGCACATCAGCAAGGCCAAGTCCTGTGCCCCAGCACACCTGAGAGCTGGAAGACCTCCATGCATTCCCCTAGTACGTCTTTTGGAAATCATGGGATTTTTCTATAAGCCCTCCACTCCAAGGGGGGGAATGAAAATGTTTGTATACTGGCCCATAAAATGTTGTGCCGTGAATGCCTCTAACAAAATTCCACACAGGGGCATGAATGCCTAGCGCTTGAATGGTTTTCATTTTAAGACACACTTCACCAATACTGCCCAGCTGGGGAGTTAACTATTGAGAGACCTTGAACTTCACATTTAAAATTCAGGTCCCTCCTGGGTTGATATTTACCCCTACCCAGATAAAGGTGCCCTCCAGCATACGCAGGAACACCCACCGACAAGGGTATACAGGCAGGGAGCACGACATTGGAGATGGTCTAGTTCAGGGTTCTCATTCCATGGATGAGAGAACTCAGGTCCAGGAATTCCATCAGCTGCCAAAAGCCTACAGGTAGCAAGAGGTGGCAGGCACTGGGGATGGGCTTGGGAGTTAAACTCTGCAGTGGATCGAATGTGTCCTCCAAGAAGACACCTTCAAGTCCTAACCCTGTTACCTGCGAATGTGACCTTATTTGGAAACAGGGTCTTTGCAGAGATAACGAGTTAAGGGGAGGTCATATGGGGGAAAATGGGCATCTGATCCAGTGACTGGTGTCCTTACAGGAAGAAAGATACTTGGACACAGAGGCACACAGAGAGGTCGCCATGTGAAGACGGAGGCAAAGATTGGATTTAGGCCACTATGAGCCAAAGAACACCAAGGATTTCTGGCAGCCACCAGGAGGGAGGCATGGAACAGATTCTCCCTGTTCAGAGCCCCCAAGAAGGAACCAGCTCTGCCAACACCTTGATTTCAGACTTCTTCTCTCCTGAGCTGTGGGTAAATTTCTGTTGTGTTAGCCATCCAGTTCGTGACACTTTGTTATGGAAGCTGTAAGAAGCCAATACAAACACAGGCCCCATTTCTTGCCTTCATGAGTTTCCAGTACTAAGACATAAGAGTAGAAAACATACATCTAACCAAGTGCTCTTTCTAACACCTCAAGAAAAAAGAAGGGAAACGTGTGATCACTTTTGACCCCAGTTCTGATGGGCACACAGATCTAAAACAGGGAAACGCCCCTTCTTCAGGTGCAAGCTTGAGTGACCAGGCTAAGCTGGGTCAGTGCTAAGGATTCAACTGCTGCCATCAAGGAATGCAGACTCTAGAAGCCAGGACACAGTGGTCATCCCCGCAAAGAGCTCAGAAAGATATATGCCGGCCCAATTTCCCAACTTAAATGATAAGTGGTCCCAGTGGATGCTCCAATTCTATGAATTTCCAGTGTTACTTTAGGGTCACATGACTTGCTACATGTACACTTTTGGAACTGGTGAAAAATACAGTGTTCCAAGAATCTCAGCGTCCAGGCTGCCAAGATGCTTCTCAATGGAGCTTGCAATCACTGAGGTTTGACATAATTGTCCTCCCCTAATCAGATCATCACTGCCACCCAAGCAGCTCCAACACCCAGAGCTGGAGGAGGCTGGGAGGGGAACCAGAGCAATCTTCTCCAGCCTCGCTCAGGGTTTCCCTGGATGTGAGGAGTCAGAGAGAAGCCCTCGGTGGTGTTTCACACTTCCCAGCGTTTTGGTCCAGGTTCATTTTTCATGTCACAACTGCTCTGGGTGATCCAACATGTGTAAGGGTTTGTTCAGGCTGTTTGGGGTTCTTTTGTGCAACTGTCAAAACAATGACCTCATTTGGAGCCATCTGCTGGCAGGCAGGATTGGCACGGAGTTCACCTCTGACTTGTGTCGCTGGAGCAATCAATTCAAGATGGCCACTCCGGGCACGAGGCTAGCTAAGCGATATCGAAGCAGATAACGGATTGCTCCATCCCTTCCTCAAGTTACCAAACATGTCAGTGCTAAGGCAGCCTCCACCAAAGGCGGCCTGCCAGGCATGGCAAAGGGAAGTCGTTATCCGCTGACCCAGAAACTCAAACCCCTCCGTTGCCTGGAGTGAGGATGCTTCTTCCCCCACCATGTCCCCGCCTGAACATTAACTTGTAAAGCAATAGGAATACAAAGGAGTCAGAGAAAACCTTTGTCTTTGGAGCCGAAAGCATGTGGGTACTGGTGTATACGCCAACACCATGGGGGGACCTTGATCTGACGCCGGGCAGCGGATCCAGGACTCCCCCGATACCAGCAGAGCCCGTGGGAACGAGTCACTCTGGGCATAACTCAGAGTCAGTCTGGGATTAACTGCAGAGAATGAACTGGGACATTCTACAAAGGCACGGAGCCCGGAGTCATTCTGGAGTTGTGACCAGGTTTTGCTGAGCCCAGCGTCTTTCACAGCCTGTACAGTTAGGGCAGGTATGGTTTTACCCACTCATGAAAAGACGCCTCATTTTTTACTGCACATCCCCCCTCCATTTCTCCGGGAAAGGAACTTAAGAAATACGCAAGAATATTATTTTTGACCCAGTTTGTTGCTATTGCCAGTTGGCCTCCTTTAGTGGCTAATTGGGCAGCTCAGCAGAATGGTCCGGTTTCAGAGCTCTCCTGTGCACGCCGGCTCTGCTGGGAGGTGAGAGAGTGACACTTTTCTCAGATTTCCTATTGTCTGCGATACCATCACAATGACCCGTGTAGGGGCTGGGGGTGGGGTGAGCCTCTTCTCACACTTGAAGATCAGCAAGGAGACATTCCTCGCGGATCTGAGCGCTTGCAGACGGCTCGGGCATGCATTACTGTAGCCAAACCGGGTATAATTACTTGAAACTTGGGTCAAGTGGGGAGTGGTAATTTGCAAGAAGGTCACTGTAGCATGATCAACGCGGAGCAAAATAAAAGCAGGGTAGCGTCTAAATACGTAAGATGGAATAAGGAAAAAGTTGTCAGGGCCAGGGAGGGAGGGAGAGAGGGGAAACAAGACTGCTACCTGTCCGGAAGCATCACTTCTAAACTGGCCAGCGCCACACTGAGGGCAGGAGCCCAGATACCTTCACTAAGGGCTGTGTTTTGAATCATCTTTCTTCAGTATGGACCAGCCCCCCACCTGCAAGCAGAGCTTCTAATTATAAGTAATAATCATGATGATATGTATTTGGCAGGGATAGAGGGATGGTAAAAGAATAATTAATAAACTTACTCCTTGACATCCACCCACCCCATGCCCCCCAGAAGAGCTGTAGGGAGGACCCCATCTACAACACAAATTCAAGAAATGTTTTTTCCTAAAGACAGGCCACTGATCCTGTCAAAATATAATCAACTGGGAGTTCATCTGCCCACAGACCTCTTCTGTCTTTCTTAAGTCCAAACTGAATCACATATTTATAAACACATTTGACATTTTGTAAAGGACATTTTCATTAATACTGACCCAAGAATAATACCAGAAAAGATAAACTGCTCACTGCCAGACACAGTCATGTATACGACTTTCAGAGCATCTTCCTTTGCTTTTTGCTCCATCAAAAGTCAGAAGTGGCTGTTCTTTGGCTGCTGTCATTAACTCAGCACTGGGACCTAAAATACCAAATATTTCATGAAACTATCAAAAACAGCTGTTTTTATATCCAGAAATCCACTTCAGCTTTGTGACATGTGGATCTTTACAAACTGCTTTAAAAATTACATTTTATTCATGCTTTTGTTTACTAAATCTTACAGCCCAAAGCAATAAAGCAAGGATATGACCCAATAATTAACTATAACACAGTAAAATTAGTGGTTTGAAACAAGCACAAATGCAAATGTTAGTGCATTTAGCTAAATCACAAATACATATTGAGCATCTAAGTCATCATATCTTGTATGACGATTGTTAATATTGACCATTTATGTGAATATATCTTACATTCAAACAGCCACAATAATAATTACTGTTAGTTGTGACTGGTTTTAAAATGCATCCAAAGTAATTTCAGGCAAGGCAATGAATGCAAAGGTTTCTTTCTTCTCCAGGACTTAAAGCAAGATGTAACTCTGGTTGTGTTTTTTTAATGAAATGTGGAAACAGGGTCACGCCTATCAGCAGCCTAGTTCAGCTTCTAATCCACTTAGGGACTGGGGCAGGGCTTTCCATGGACACGGTTCAGATCTGAGATGACAGTGTATCTACCCCGTTTATCAGAGCTGGGTGTCATGAGCATCTCACTGACTGCACGTGGTTCCAGGCTGACATCGGGCCATTCTGTTGGAGCCGAGATTCTCATCTCTCAGGGCACCAGAACCCCCAAATTCGAGGTAAGGAGCCACTAAACCCAGGAGAGGAGGAACAGGTAGTCTACTGGACATGCGCTCTACCCTATGGCCACGCCCACCCCAAAATCAAACTGCAACCTTCCACTAGGATTTATGGATCCCTGGCATACAAATTATGCTGGGGGATTAAAAGAAAAAAAGTAGAACACTGGAAAATGTGATGCAGATTTGCAATAAATATTTACGTGGTCAGAGAGGTCTCAGTTCAGACTCATACATCTATCCCTCCAAGGCTGTCACCATCTAAATCAGTTCCTTCGTCATCTTACTGCTCCAAGGATGCCAGAGCAGAGGGCCCAACTGCATCAGCTCTGAAGATAGAATTTAATGCTTCATCTTCCACTAAGCGTGACGCCAGCAGATTTTTTTTACCTCCCCAGAGCTCAGTTTCCACTCCTGCAAAATGAGCTTAAGGTGAGGATCACGCAGCCTGCCATGCTATCTGCAGTCCCGGGGTCTTTGTCCCTCGTCCCTGCTTCTGTATGAAGCTGCTTAAGCTGGTACCCCCACGGCTGGATTCTTCAGATGTCAGCTTAACTATCCAGTCCTTGGAGAGAGGTTCCCTGCTCACCCTACCTCGATCACACATCCTGGTTTCTTTTTTTCCATTGTGATTATCATGTCCTTTATTATTCAGTTTGTTTGGTAACTTATTTATGGTCAACTCCTGCTGCCCCCCTCAACCCTCACACACACACACACACACACACACACACAATGCATACACATGCACACACATACACACATGTTGTCCACAAAAGCTGAGATCTCACCTGCTTTATTCATCACCCTATTCTCAGAGCCCCAGACAGGACTTGGCACAGATCAGGAGCTCAATGAATTTTGTTGAAAGAACAAATGCATGGAAAGTGCGTGGCCCACTTCAGGCGTTCAAAAAAATCAATCAGACAAATGAATAAAAAGAACTTGAGAAATTTCTAGTCATAAAGGCAGTGTTTGGAGAATCCTCGAATTCTCCTGGCCTCATGCTACCCATGGTGTTTACCTATGATTAGACGTAGGCCCCTTGGAGGTGGGACCCCCTCTCATTACCTGCATGTGGGCAGAAGAGGCCAAGGAAAGCTCAGAGGCCCTCACGCTAGACAGATGTGAGTGCAACTCCTGGCTCTGCAAGTGACCTTGGGCTGGACGTTTATCCAGGTCCTCCTTCTAGAAAGATGGGGTTAATAACACAGTATCCTTGGGCTGATATGAGGATTAATAGGACTGGCTGCAGAAATTTGCAAGGCCCTGTGAAAAGCAAAAGCATAGGAAACCTTGTTCGAAAATTATGAAGATCTTTGAGGGGCGGAGACAAGATGGTGGGGCAGAGAGACTCACAGCTCGCCCTCTCCCACCGAGAATTACATCTACAAACCCACCGAATCGCACAGAACACCTACTGAGCTCTGGCAGGCTGTCTCTTCGAAATTTCGAAGTACAGGAGGATTCTCGCAAAATCTGATAAACAACAAGTTCATACTGTATAGTACAGGGAACCATATTCAATATCTTGTAGTAACTTGTGGTGAAAAAGAATATGAAAACAAATATATGTATGTCCCTAGATGACTGAAGTTTTGTGCTGTACACCAGAAACTGACACAACAGTGTAAACTGACTGTACTTCAATTAAAATACATTTTAAAAAGTATGAAGAACTTCAAGCCAGCGACTGCAAAGTATTAAACCAAGAGCAGGGCCTTTCTAAGCACAGCAGGACCCAGTGGGACTGCCCGGGGCTCACCCACGGTGCTGGCCCTGCTGCCCAGCCTGGTGTCTGACAAATATTTCTTTTTCTCCTCCCCTTCTCATTAAAAATCTGATGTAATGAAATGAGACAGATTGCAACTATTGGCTGAACAAAGGGATCCTAAGCAGTGGAATTTCTGATAGCACTAAGCATTCCAGCTAATTATCCAGTCTGAATTATTCAGATACCTTGGTTGTCTTTCTTCTTGTCCTTTGAGTTATATCGCTGCTCACTGATAATTCAAAAATACTGTTCCCACCTCCATTTGTCTCTTGCATCCTGATAAATGGCTGCTGGAAGAAGAGACCAAAGGGACAGGCTCACATTCTTGGACTGGAAGACCCTTGCTGTGTGTTCACTTATTCAGCATGCATTTACTGACTGCCCGCAATGGGCAGGTAGAATGGAACGTCCCTGAGACAAGGACCTGGGAGCAGTCTGAACCCTTGTGGCTGCAAGAGACAGACACCCAGCTCAAGACTTTGAAGCCAAGAAGGGACTTGCTGGTTCACTTGACTCTGAAGTCCTGGGGTCCAGCTCAAGTAGAGCTGGATCCAGAAATACAGATTCGATGATCAGCTCTGCACAAGTACCATGGGCAGAGATGGGATCCAAGAGTAGCGAGATCTGTTCACAGATCCACATCTGCAGCCGGAGAGGAGGCAGGACATCACAACATACAACTTCCCAGATCCACGTGAGATGAGAAGGCAAATTGCCCAGCGCAGAGAGGAGTACTGAACAACACATTACGGCAGGTGCCCACTACTGATTTTAGTGGGGAAAGTTCTGAGAACTGGGACCTTACAAAGCATGCATTTCTGAAGTTCCAAGTTCCTGCTCAACAAATATTCCAGGAAAGAAGGAAAGAAAGCCCTGTTCTGAGCTGTTGTAAGAAGACACACAATTTTAAAAAGAAACCCTTTTTTTCACTGAGAGTCTAGACACAGAGTCTCCATGATTCCAAGCATCTAGAATAAAAACAGAAAACACGTAGGCAATCACTGGTGTGTTTCTAAACATCCAGATGTCTGGCATCACATAGTCATTGCCACAGTGTGTAGGAGTCTCTTTCAGCAGCAGAATTGGAATCTCTTCCCAGAACCAGGTTCAGATAGTAGTTTTCTGAGAACAGAGATACCTTATCTTGTGATGTTTCTTACAGAAAAGAATTAGCCCCACCCTCCCCAGAGAGCCAAGAATAATGAGTGAAAACTTTAAAGTAACAGCATTTCAAAAGTAACACTGGGACTCTGTTTCTCTAGTCTACCTGAATTCTATTTTAGAAGGAGCAATTAAAAAGAAAAAAAAATCATGGGAGCTTCTCCCAGGTTTGATGATGAAAAAATGCTTAAATAGCAGAAGGTCTAATGAAGAAAAGACACAACGAGGGATTGGAAGACGTGGGTTCTAGTCTCAGTTCTACCGCCCTGGAGCCTTGCTCAGATGATTTAACCTGTCGGGGGCTCTGCTCCTCTGCCTGTAAAACACAGGCGTTGAAAAAGATGATCTTTCAGGTCCATTCTAACTCCATCACGATCAAGATGAGTAAGTGTTTATAGAAGCAATAACACTAGCATCCCACCTTTTTATGACATTTTGCAGTTTATGAACATTTCTGTGCATGGCTCATTTGATCCACACGGGAAGACTGTGCGTGGCATGCTCGGTCAGATTTAGTCCCTCTGTGGAATGGCAATGGGAAGTGTGTGGGGTCCCGGACAGCAGGTGGCAGAGAAGCCGCTAAACCAGGTCTCCCTGTGCCACAAGCTCTCTCCTTCACCTGTGATGGGAAATAGATCTCCAACCTTCATAACCGCCCTCAAGGCTTAGCGTACATTATTAATAGTATCTTTTGGGACACCTTGACAGACTCGGGTGCCATCAAGTTTCCTAGTGGTTCACTGATTTCTAAGTAAATTGGATCTGAATTCAAGGCCAAAGAGTGATGACTTGGTGCTCCAGGGTCACTCCCAGCCACCCAGTGACTCTAGGGCTGGATCAGAGAAAGTACAAGACCAGCCAGGAACATCATGTGGTACCAGAAAATACGGAACTGCTCAAAAACATGATAAGGGCTTGCTGATGGAACAGAAGAGCCAAGCCAGAGGAGCTCTTAATGACCTGAGTTGGAACAATTTGAGTCACAAAGTAAAGAATAATAACGTGGGATTATGACACATTGAATAGAATAAATATCTTGAGTCCAGACTAACTTAATTCTATTTATCAATTACCTAGGGGAGCAAAGACTGCTCTTCCTCAGAATAAAATTCTAATTAATAAGTGTAGAAGGACAAAGGGAAATAGAAAACTTCATGGTAATAACAGGAACACTCCATCATACTAATTGTTGCAGACAAGAAACATTTATGGATGCTAAAATTGGAGGGTGAAAGTTAGAGGAGAAACAGAATTTGCTTAGCCTCAGCGTATCTCCCCCAAGGTATTTACAAACTACAAAGGAGGAGAGAGTGGAGAAAACAGGCAGACACCATCTTAACCCAACGATCAAGGTGAACATCACTAGCAATAAGACGCATCAGCGTCAGGAACCCATGATGTGATGCCCCAAAAAGGACACGACATCACTTCTGTGGGATTCTTACCTAATCTGCATAACCTCATTCCAACCATGCGGAAATATCAGGCAAGCCCAAACTGAGGGATAATCTACAAAACAGCTGATGAGGAGTCTTCAAACGTGTCAAAGTTGTGAAGACAAGAAAAGTCCGAGGAACAGTAACTACAGCTTTGGGGAGACAGAAGAGAAATAATGAAATGCAACGTGGGATCTTGGACATTAGTGGAAAGCTCGGTGAGATTCAGATAAGATCTTCAGTTTACAGCAGAGAATCAATGTTGATTTCATGGTTTTGATGATTATACTATAGTTACATAATACGCAGAAGTTAGAAGAACTGGATGAGAGATTTATGGAAACTCACTGGACTGTTTTTGTGACTCTTCTGAAAATCTGAAATTAGTTCAAAATTTTTAAAGACACCTCAGAAGCCATTTTGACCGTATTCTGAGCTCCTCAAAAAGTAAGTTAACTTCCCCGAGATGGCCAGAGTAATTGTAAAAATCCATCCTGGCTCTTGCTCCAAAGGGTGTCTCTCTAGAGAGTGAGATCCTTGGGACCCCAAAACCACATTTTGACCCTGCCAGTTTGCTGACAATCCAGCTTTTGGAAACCACTCTGCACTCTGGACCACTCATCGATGGCAAATACTGCTGAACTTAATGCCTGCTTGGAGACAATGTGAGCTCTGTCTCTACTGAATGCGGATGGAGTGAGCCAAACAGCCTCAGAGATATTTAATAACAAAAGCATCTTCTTAATTTTGGTCACATTTATCCTGATTCTTTTCACACAACTTCAAGAGCAAAGCAACCAGAATTCTGCTATGATAAAATCTGTCTTTACTTCCTGCCTCCAACTGTGTCCACCCTGCAATTTCTTTGTCACGGTGTCTGTTCTCATCCTAAATGGGTGGAGACCACGTGTTACAACTTAACGATTTCTGCATCTTTTTTTTTTTTGGTTGTTGGTTTTTCTTAAAAATACACAAGTCTAACTTGGTTGTGCGTTTCCTGAGGGTGTGAACTGACAGCAAATTTCAGTTCTAAGCCACATACACAACTGACAATTTTATGACATTACTCAGTTTCACACAAAGCCACAGAGAGGCAGAGCTGAGTGCCACAGCCCCTAAGCAAAGTAATCTCCCAAAGCTGGTAAATTTTCTTCTGGAAAAAAAGACTCGCATTTCTCATCATGAGCCACAGCTCTCTGCTGTTACTGGGGACTTGGCGCGGAGAGGAAGGGCCCTCCCTAAATGTCTACTTGTCTCACACCTGGACCAGCTGACCAGCCAGTTCTTTTTTTTTAACTTGCAGCATTTTTTATTTCCTCACAATGACGCGTTGCTGGGGACTGATGTTCTCACATGACAGTAGAAAGCCAAAATTTGTTGTCATCTCTTAAAGAATTGAGAATTGCATACAAAAACCTTACATAAATTAAAAGGATGAATAAATTTACAGGTGTGAATGCAAACCATCTTGCAGCTCAAGGCAAGGAACCACCCTTGGTGTTCTGGCCGGAAAACATTGGGGAAGAAAGGGAAGTGGATCCTAAGGCTCAGACCTTTCCAAGCCCGTCAGGCTGGCGAGACAGAAATGACAACAGGTTCAGGACTCCTGCAGCCTCGAGGGAAACCCTGCAATAGGCAGCTCTCACACGTAAATACCCTGCACAACCAAGAGACTCGGGGTCTCCCGGACTCACATCAAGCCAATGAGTTTCTCTTCCACAAATGTGTTCTCACCTCAGCCACGACAAGTGACAGAGCTGCATGTAACTAGGGGTTTAAATCAAAGATAAGCACAGGGTATTAAACATACACGGAGGGAAGAGCTAACTTGAATACAAGGTCAAGATCAGCAACAAGTCTACCATCCAGTGCTGATGCCAGATACAAGCTTCAAGGACAAATTTCTTTTCAAAGGCTTATTCCAGTTTCACAAGGCTGGTGTGAGATGTGTATGTTTGCCAGGGCAAATTTATACTTCTGAATTAACTCATGCAGCAAATGCTATGCATCTGCCTGCAGTCCACTTAGAAGCATTAGCGGTGGACGATGGAGGGGCCCAACTTGTTGTACTCCTGCTTGCTGATCCACATCTGCAGGAAGGTGGACAGCCAGGCCAGGATGGAGCCCCCGATCCACATGGAGTACTTGTGCTCGGGAGGAGCGATGATCTTGATCTTCATCGTGCTAGGGGCCAGGGCCATGATCTCCTTCTGCATCCTGTCGGCAATGCTGGGGTACATGGCAGTCCCACCAGACAGCACTGTGTTGGCGTACAGGTCCTTCCGGATGTGGACATCACACTTCATGATGGAGTTGAAGGTGGTTTCGTGGATGCCATGTGACTCTATGCCCAGGAAGGAGGGCTGGAAAAGCACCTCTGGACACCGGAAGCGCTCGTTGCTGATGGTGATGACGCAGTCGGGCAGCTCATAGCTCTTCTCCAGAGAGGTGCTGGAGGCAGCGGTGGCCATCTCCTGCTCGAAGTCCAGGGCGACGTAGCAGAGCTTCTCCTTGATGTCACACACAATTTCCCGCTCGGCCGTGGTGGTGAAGCTGTAGCCATGCTCAGTGAGGATCTTCATGAGGTAATCCGTCAGGTCCCGGCCAGCCAGGTCCAGACACTGGACAGCGTGGGGGAGGGTGTAGCCCTCGTAGATGGGCACAGTGTGGATGACCCCATCCCCAGAGTCCATGACAATACCAGTGGTGCGGCCAGAGGCGTACAGGGACAGCACAGCCTGGATGGCCACGTACATGGCCAGGGTGTTGAAGATCTCGAACATGATCTGGGTCATCTTCTCACAGTTGGCCTTGGGGTTCAGAGGGGCCTCGGTCAGCAGCACAGGGTGCTCCTTGGGGGCCATGCATAGCTTGTTGTAGAAGGTGTGGTGCCAGGTTTTCTCCATGTCGTCCCAGTTGGTGATGATGCCACCCTCAATGGGGTACTTGAGGGTCAGGATGCCGCGCTTGCTCTGGGCCTCATCGCCCACGTAGCTGTCCTTCTGCCCCACGCCCACCATGACGCCCTGATGTCGGGGATGGCCGACAATGGAAGGGAAGACAGCCCGGGGTCGTTGTCCCCAGCAAAGCCAGCTTTGCACGTGCCAGAACCATTGTCAATGACGAGCGCAGCGATTTCTTCTTCCACCGCGATCGGCGGAGGAGGCGGGATGCGGCGGAGCAAGCGGCGGGGCAGCGAGAGGACGCGGAGCGCGGGCGGCTGCGATGAGTGAGCGACCGGCCAGTTTCTACGAACTCCTTTTATCTGAGTGTGGGAAGCTGACTTTAATAGAAGCACAAGACTTTATCCCTGACCTCAAGGATCTTACAGTCTGGTATGAATTTGCATTGCCAATTTTAAACAGTTAAGTCCCAAACAAGAAGAATCTGCTACTTAATATTTAGGGTAACCCAAATCCAGGAAAAGGAGAGAAAAATAATCAGGAAAACTTAAAGCAGGAGAGGGATTTCATCCCTTCATACAATCAATATTTAATTTCATTGTCTGTGCCAGGCACTGTCCTAAGGGCTAGTGTCTCAATAGGAAACAGGTAATAAAAACAAAAACAAATACATAAGCAGGTTCATTTCAAATAGTGAAAAAAAAAAGAATTAAGGACATTTAATTTAATTTACCTTTTAAAAAAAGATGGGTAGAATATATCTGGTTGATCTGCAAACTTAAGATGGAACTTACAGCCAAGCAAATTCAATGTCACTGTAATTTATGTTTAGGCTTTTGGAACTGCTTCTTAGGACCCCAAATCTCAAATTGATTTAAAGGTTCTTTACCTTTGTAGAGACCATGTTTCAACCCAACATAGAAACCTGACTTGAATGCAACAATGAATATATGTATGTTCATGTATAACTGAAAAATTGTGCTCTACACTGGAAATTGACACATTATAAACTGACTATACTGAAAGAAAGAAAGAAATTTTATATATAAGAGAGAGAGAGAGAGAGAGAGAGAGAGAGAGAGAGAGAGAGAGAGAGAGAGAGAGAGAGAGAGAGA